GTTGAAAAATTTTGATCAATAGTGAAGCATGGGTATAAAAACAATAGGCAAAACAACCCACCAGCACATTGTTGTTGATATTGAAGACTTTCCATCCTACGAAAAGGTCGCGCATGATTAAAATAGAATATATGAAAGAAAAAGTAATTCCTATAATATAAATTTAGTTTCCAAAGAAGCAACTATCATCTTTGTTGCAGAATTTGCAGTATACTGTGCATTAATTAACCCATTACAAGATTACACAATAATAAAAAACAAACCAAACTTTGGGATAACCAACATTGAAATACATAGGGTCATACATAGATAAAAATCATCTGTTATTTCCCAATATGGCAGACTAAATGCAAGTGTCGCCAGGCAAAAGTTTCCAAGTGTTAAAGAAAAGGCATAGGGATATAAAATGAAACGTTGCATTCAGTAACTAGCATAAAATGCTTAATATATTAGTAATAGAGAATATTTTCAACTACAATTCGAAGGTCTGTGAATTCTTTCACAGCATGAATTTGATAGGCATTGGAAATGAAATTGTATGGATAAGCGGGAATAATTGAGTTGGTATTTAAATAAAGAGATAAGGAATGGAAAAAAAGCAAAGTGATTAGATAATTGACAAAACTTGAGAAATATGACCCCTTTTTATAGGATCGTCTTAGGATGAAAAGGTCTAAAATGTTCGCCCTTTAACTCACTCGTTCTCTCATCACATTGGCAACTCCATCTACTTGGACGAGTTCTACCTTGGTCCGCCGGATCGGATCGTTTTTAAGGCTAGCCTGCAGAGCCTCATAAAGGTTCTTCACGCTATTGTTGTGTGAAGCCAGAGCACCGGTCATAAAAAGCACAGGACACCTAGTCGTAGGACCAAAAAAGAGAAAAGAATCAGAGGGAATTGGAATGATAAGAAGACGAGAAAAGAAAAATATAGAGAACAAATGAGGTGTAAAGGAAGAAGGGAAAGAAGCCTGAAAGAACGGGATAAGAATAGTTCTGGGAAAGCAAGGCTGAATCATTCACAATGAAAAGAAGTTAATCTGTTTCGAGTGACAACTACAGATTCAATTAGCGAAATCAGCCGAATAACACCCGAATTCTGGAAAAAGTTAATCCTTTAGGAACTAAACCTGTTATGTCAATTTAGCATACGAGCGTGCTTACTTTTAGAGAATAATGATTCATAAATTTGAATAGTAAACAACAGAATTTTTATAAATGGTAGGCATATCCACTTTTGTTAATCCATCATCGCCCTTTCTGTCCTTTCATATTCCCCGTTCCGCCATCGGTGATGAAGGACTGGTAGAAGAATTTTCCCACAATGATATGAGTAGAGCTGGCGTATGCATTGAATTTCATATAGCCTTGCTTTCCCATAAGGGGTTATCATCCAGGGTGTACTGCAGTTTCGACCTTGCCTGGATGTTATCAACACTCCTAGCGGAAGTCTAACCATGACAGAGTAACGTATAATTTCACACGTTAACCACTATCTCACATTGTCACAAGTGCCCTTTGGTCACGGGCTTTCTTTGAAATTCACATCTGCTCTGTGACCCAAGGGCACTCGTGGCAATGTGGCGTAGTCGTTAACGAGTCGAGATTACATGCTGCATTGCTATGGCTCGACTCCAGCCGGGGGTGATTATAAGACGTACACAACGTCGAAACTGCAGTCCACTCCTTCCTGAATGAGAACACCTTTTGATAAAGCAAGGATATGTGAAATTCAATGGAAACGTCAGCTCTACTCATATCATCGTGGAAAAATTCAATTACCAGCCCTTAATCACCTTAAAAGAATTAGGATGAACACAGCTCATAAAAGGTGGTATGTTGAATGGGGGGAGTATTTGATTTTCCGGCTCAGGTTGGCTGCGTCATGTGTCCAAAAAGACAGCTCTTCAATTTCACAAAGTATTCTAATCACACCACGTGTTACTAGGTAGCATGAATATCAATTAATAAAAGTTATAGATACAAATAGAGAGTGATTGTTAAAGTTATAGTGCAACAAGTATGGAAAAACATACTGTTGCTATCTCTTAATTAGCCTATCAAAGAATTACAACTAGAAAAGCCAAGAGATCCATTAGTACAAATCACGTATTATGTAAATATATAGGCAAACAAAAGTAATCAAACAAATTTATTCGTCTACCGAGTACAGAAATCTTCGGCAAGTGAATAGACTTATTAGGGAGAGAAAAGCAGAAGTAGGCAGATACGTTAAGACGCATAGAGGTTATCAGATTATTAGAATCGCCATACGAGGGATAGAAAAAAATGAAGAGTGTACGATCATTTGAGTGTATGAGTGTGTAATTAGTTGTGCGTGTGGTCGCTCTTAAATGCATAGAGGTACAAGTAGGGAGAAAAATAAAGGTAAGTTATTGCTCACCTATTAATGAATTCATCCATGTAGGTCACTTATGAGACCTTCACTATATAACAATGGCGTATAAGCATAAATCAAAGACAAGAAAGAGAACGAAGTAGGAATGATGAAGAGGGAACAGAGCTTACAGCATAGAGCATTTACTCCAATTTATAGTGGAGCGCGTATCATAGAGCCCAAAAAAAACGAATAAGTCCATGACATATTTTGTCTAAATTAAGAATAAATTGCTAATTTTTACAAAATTCTTAATTTAAGGACAAAAAGAAAATTCATTTTACAGAAAAATTCAAATTAGCATGGCTTGCATATTACCTATACTTTTTGATCTGTCGCAGTATCCTATCGATATAGTATCCGTAGGGTTATGGATTTCGTGAATTCAAATCAGGCTCGGAGTGCAAACATAACCTTATTGAAGATCATCCTGAATAAAAATCTTCACAATGCAAAATAGCTGAAAAAATGTTTTCTCTCTTAATTTAATCATTTAATGAACCAGTATGTTAGAAATAGATAGGTACTACGGCTAGTAGATCACCAGTACCTAGTTTGGGGAACAGGTTATCAGAAAACGCAGTAAAAAATAAATAAAGTGGATAATAATAAGTCCTTCTTCAAATTTCAATTCATTAAGAATTTAAACCCAAGGATCCCAATTCAAATTTAGCAGCGTAATAAAGCATAGTCAAGCTAAAAATAAAATGGCTCAATCCGTTTGAGTATACTCAGCCTTTAGAAATAGGATAAGTCAAAAAGTTTAGGCAAATTAGTAAAGAATTTTAAATCTGGAGAGTTAAAGAAGTAATTATAAAGTATGAATTTAAATAGCCACACTTATGAACAGAGATTAGAGTAGCTTAAGAGTATAATTGTCACAGTGATGAATTCTTGATACTAACGACAAACATCCAGAACGTTAAAAGAAGGCTACGTAAGAAATAAAAGAAGCCAAAGATGATTGTTGATTATGGCAGATTTAAGTACAAAAAAGGAATTATCGAGAGGACTAAGATAAGGCTTTTAAAATTTAAAGGGTCAGGAAATGTTCGTTTTTCATCAAAGATCCTTTGAAGACCAGAAATAAACTTTGACTGACTTAAATAATTTATAGTATAGGCGATTAATGGTCAAATGTGCTGTAGACTGGACGTATAATCTGGCTTGAGTATGAAGGCTTTCGTTAACAAATAAGGCAAGATATCTAAATTACTCACTTAAGCTAGCGTAAGAATAGACAATCTTTATAAAATTAAGTTTAGAAGAATAGGTAATCCATAAACCTCCTCGTGGATAAAATAGTCGACACGAAGATTAACGGGGCTTAAAAATATTTAGAGTCGTCAGCAGACTTCATATAAGTATTTCGCTTATTGAGTCAGGCTCGTAGAGGATAAAACGTCAATCACGGATAAGCCAGGTTACAGGAAAGGCAGGTTATAATAGACATTCGATCAAATAACTAAATGATAGCAGAATAGACCTAAGTCCTAATTTTGAAAGAAAAAGCGGCTAAGAGAAAAGGAGATCAAATTTTGATTAATGAGGTGGCAGGATAATGAAATTTCTGGTATGAAAGCCCTAGGAATAGCAGTTTAGCATTAGGTTACTTGTTTATCGATTTGGTAGGATATTTTAATCAGTGGTAGAAAGCTGTCAAGCTTATTTAGGCTAATAAAAGCAAATTAATTATTATTAAATAGTGAATAGACATAGATTTTCTTATTTCCCTACAAGCATGCATCAGGGAGTATCGATTTATTGAGTATATTTGAATAGATAAGAATCAACTATGAAGCAACGTTTGAGAAAATAAGTTAGATGTAACCCTATGTAGAATGTGAAGACCCATAAAATTCAGACCAGCTTTGTCTCAAAAAGTACAGTCTCTTTAAAGATGAATAATCTAATTTAATTACGATTGGGATGTCACTAATAGATTAAGCGTATATACCAAAGAGTTTAATAAAACGGAGTTGAAGAGTTTGAGTGAAATCGAATGAGATAAAATAGTCGATTGATATACCATTGGAATTCCTAAGGTTAAAAACTATTTTAAAACTAAATCATTGCCAAAGATAGTATAGGCTCTTATCATAGTAAACATTAAAATGTAGTAAACTATTACATGAATGGAAGAGAAATGGCAACAACACTTGTCTAAATATAATGTTCACTGCAGGTTGATAAGTTATAAAAATATCCAGCTCAATTATAAATAAAATAAAAAATCGAATTATTGACACTTTAATAAGTATAGCCTTTTAAAATAAATAGTGAGAAGTTCGGAATATTATGTGAAGACCAAGATGTTGTGGCCTCGGGTATGGTCGCAGTCTCCTTTCGACTTATAGAAGTG